AGCCATTGGCCATCTGCGAAAAGCATGTGAGGACGCAAAGAAGTCGTTGAGTTGGGCTGAGGACACAAATATAGAATTAGAATCGTTGTTTGAGGGCATAGATTTCAGTGCAAACCTCACACGGGCCCGATTTGAGCATTTGTGCTCGGTTTTCTTTAACCGAACGATGGATGCGGTGAAGATGGCGCTGAGTGATGCCAAGTTGGATACGGCTGACATCAACGAGATTGTGTTGGTGGGTGGATCAACGCGTATTCCCAAAGTGGAAAAAATGTTGCAGGACATCTTTCCTTGCAGTAAGCTGAACAAGTCCATAATTCCAGACGAGGCAGTGGCGTACGGTGCAACGTTGCTAGCATCAAATCTGACTTGCGAAAATTCGGAGGTGGTGGAGGATTTGCAGCTGCTGGAGATAACACCATTATCACTGGGTGTGGCGACCGCAGGTGGTGTAATGACCACGTTGATAAAGCGCAATACGAAGATTACGGCAAAGAACACAAAGATCTTCTCCACCTGGTCAGACAATCAACCAAGTGTGTTGGTCAAAGTGTATGAGGGTGAGCGCGCGATGGTGAATGACAACAACTTGTTGGGCGAGTTTCAGTTGTCAGGTATCTCACCGGCGCCGCGTGGTGTGCCCCAGATTAAAGTGACCTTCGGTATTGACCTCAATGGCATTCTCAACGTGTCGGCGGTGGACAAGTCGGTGGGGAAGGAGAAGAGCATCACCATCGTTAACACCACGGGTCGTCTGACGGGGGAAGAGATCGAGCAGATGATGAATGATGCAGAGACGTTCAAGCAGGCGGATGAGAAGGAGAAAAGTAGGATGGAAGCGAGGATCAAGTTAGAGAACTGCATCTTTAGCATAAAATTAAAAATCGAGGGGGAAGAAATGAAGCAAAAGACATCAAGGGAGTCGACTGAAGACATACTAATGATGTGTGAGAAGACCTTGAATTGGATGGACATCGACTTAGGCGCCACAAAGGAGGACTATG